CCTGTAACTGAGGTGCTGTAGATCCACTGAGTGCCTCTTTCCCCCTTCCCCTGGCCCTGTGAGCAGCAGGTTCGCTGTGGGGCCATCACGAGCCGGTGGCCTGGGCAGGAGGTAACATTTTGAAAGAGCTGGAATTGCAGTCCCTGATCCTGATCCCTGATCCCTGACACTAACCCTGCTGCTTCCCCCCGTGTGTTTCAGGAGAGCAGATCTTAGCCAGTGGCTCGGTGCAGATTCCTCGCTTCGTTCTCCTCGAGTCTGGAGGGCTCCAGATAACGCCCGTGTTCCTGCAGGATGCTGGCAATTACACTTGCTGTGCAGCCAACTCTGAAGGAGCTCTGAATGCTTTTGTGATGCTGACAGTGTGGAGTAAGGATAATGCTTTGTTTAAAGTCTAACTTTAATCAAGTATTAATCAGTTTTTGTTGTACGCTCAGGAAATTTTCATAAGTAATTATGCTTTTCTCGTTAATAGAGTTACTTGTATGATTTAATAGGAATAATGTGTCTATTTTAGGAAGCCTATCACAAATACCCTTTTTGTTTGGAGAATTATGCATATAAATCTCTATTTTGTGAAAGGAAGTGTATTTAAATAGAGCTTCAATCACAATTACAGTTTTACTCAGGTTTTGCTTTGGCGCCTCACATTGCAAGTCTGAGTTTCTGACTTGTAGATTTGGCTATTTGCAGGTGGTTTCTGCCTCCAGGAGTCTGCAGGCAGCACAGAACAGTCCATGCTGGTACTGAGGCTGTGCTCACAGTCACAACAGATAGGATTTTCCTCACACTTTTGTATTTTTTGTGTCTCTGGGTGCTGTTGGAAGCCAAATCAAAGTGCAGCAGATTTCAGCTAACCCCTCGCAGTACAGACTGGTGTGGAAAACGGCATCCTATAAAATGGTTTTTTCATTCCCTTGATCTCTATATTTTTTATTTCTTCTGTTGGGGAAGTGAGTCTGATCCAAGAGGTTCGCCTATGTTACTCCTAAGTGAGTTAAATTGAAGTGTAACATGGTTTTTGCTACTCAAGATGCAAAATAATGATCCATGAGCTGGGACTAAGAGCAACTGAAAATAATGAAGATGATGAGGATTAATACAGAAATGTTGTGGCCTTTTCTCCTCTGCAGCACTTGAAGCACTGATTGTGCTGCTGATGTGTGGTGCATATTTGGCATTTATTAATCCCCAAGCTCTGCAAGCTGAATCAGCCATATTTTTCCTTTTGAACTTGGAAATACCTGAAAACATTTCTGTCAGTAGCTGTAATGTATTTGTGTCATGTGGCCATCATGTTTATGTCTTATTGACAATACAGACTTGGTAGAGAGATCAGGATGGTGTAAATTGAATGATACCCAGGTGTTTGGATCAAGTAAAGGAGATCCTATTAATCCTCAAAGCTATGGTTCTTACAGGTATTAAAGATAGTTCCTGTTCATTATACTGCATGGAGGGAAGAAAAGTGAATATAACCTAATGTTTGTATAGCAACAGCACCATTACAAAGCCAGAAGTCTTTTATGGGTACATCAGGAGTAATGCTAAAAATTCCATCCTGTTTAGAGTCAGCCTTTGATTTTGCTGATGGTTCCTTCTTGTGCATGTATGAGATATCACAGTAGATGCTGATTATCTCTGTAGGGATTTGGGACTTATTAACATTATCCACATATCTTCCATGCTCATCCTGGTTGTCTCCCTGCCTCAGCTGATGCTCTCTGCTGCTGCTCCTGTGTGTGACACATAATGGGGATCTTTCACACCGGATCTGGTTGCTGTAGTTACAGCAATTATTATGTTCTGAGCCTCCAGGAGGGGCTTGAGTAAGGATGTTCTGAAACATTTGAGTAAACAACATATCTTTCTTATATGGAAGATTTTTCTTCCAGGAGCTCCTCCAGTTTCCTGGAGTTGATGAGGTTGTAGGGTGCTGTTGAAGTTTACCTCTTCCTCGGTATTTTTCAAGTGCTTTTTTTCTTTGCACAGATTTTCTTTGGTCTTGTTTGTGTTTTTGCCACTCCAAACAGCATGGCTCATTTCCTGACTCAGTGTTAGCTTCTACGCTCTTGTGAAGATTTTAGGGAGCTGCCACAGACACTTGCACAAGCCCTTGCACAAGGGAAGAGTTTGGAGAGCTTTACCATTCTCCTCTGAGCTCAACTCATGCCCTCTGCCACTGAAGCTCTCCTCATCCCACAGCACATCTGTGTCACAATGACTTCAGAGGGAGGGGAGCCTTCGAGGGCAGTGTCCCGCTCGCTTTGAGTGCCAGAGGCTCTGTGGCTGCTCTCTGAGCGAACAGCCGAGGCTGAAGCTCTGTTTTCACCTGAGCTGTGCCTTGTGCTCCTTTCAGATCGCACTTGCATTGTCCGCCCTCCCGAGGACAGCACGGTGATCAAAGGAACCACGGCCACGCTGCGCTGCGAGGCCACTCACGACCCCAGAATTTCAATCAGGTTGGTGGTGTCACTTCTCGTTTGTGTGGTTTATCCCAGCTTAATTTTATAAGCTGTGTGAAAAGCATTAGGTGAAAAGTTTTGGGACCCCCAGATTTTCACACTAAACCCCTGATTACTGCATTATAAGGTTGTACACTGTATCATTAATCATATAAATCCCATCTTCCATTTCAGCCTTATGTATTATTTACAATGAGCTATGTTCCACTTCATGACTTCAATATAGCCTTCCATGATTTTACTGTCAAGGTTAATACACTATCAATAAAACCAACTTGTCAGAGGCTGGCACTTAATGAGAGTAAAAGCCAAAGAGAAGGAATAGGATTTCAGAAGTGTTTACTCTGGGGTGCATAAAAGCCACACCAGAGATGCCCATGTTTTTGGAAACAACTCAATAACTTGGGCTTATAGTCTGTTCTAACCGTGTAAAGGAAACCAGAATTTGTCTGGACTATTAAAATTTGAATTACAGCATTTAGAGGAAGCTCAAAACTTGAAAATAAATTTGCCATGAAAATTAATGTAGTCTGAAAGCAACACAAATTAAATAAAATGCAAGGAAGAGCTTGCAGAGTGCTTGAAGGGTGAACTGCAGAAAGAACTTCGGAAAGAGAAATATGGGTATAAAAATTGCAGTTAGAGGCAGGAAATTGTGAGTCTGTGGGCTCTCCACACCTCTGTGATGTGTTGGGAGGTGTGTTTTTGATATGTGAGCTCCAGGAAACCTTCAACAAGTTTCTAATCTTGGCAGTCCCATGTTACAGAGCCTTGGCAGAGCTGGGCCAACACCATTAACTGCTGAGTTAATGTTCTGGTGGGGGTGAACTTAAGAACTTGGACATTTTATGAGTACTCCATTTTTTCCTTGTAAAATACATAATATCATGGATGGAATTACATTTTTCATTCTGATTGCTTGATCTAAAATTTGTAAAAGGCACTGCTCTTTAAAGTAGCTGCAGGGGCCTGTCATTTTTAACATGTGATGACAGGAGCTGATCCCTTCCAGCAGAGTTTAAATAAATCTGTGATGGTGTTCTCAGAAGTAATCAATAACTGAAACATTGTAATACCCAGGTACCTTTGGAAGAAGGACAGTGTTGTAATAAATCCATCCAGCAGTTCCAGGATCACAGTGGAGAGGGATGGGACCCTCCTGATCAGCCAGACGTGGTCGGGTGACATCGGGGATTACACCTGTGAGGTCATTTCTTCTGGAGGAAACGACTCCAGGACAGCTCGGCTGGAAGTGATGTGAGTGCCCCAGCTTAAATGTTTGCTACTCTGGTTTTTTCAGATACCCTCAGGGATTTTTTCTAGTATTTAATTCTTGGTGTTGTGGAGAGTCAGCAGCTCTGATTTTTTTGGTGTAGGGTTTTTATTTTAGGGAAATTAAGGCTGGTTCGTTGCCAATGAAATCGCTTTGAAATGCTCTGATCTCATGGCTGAGCCTGCTTTGAGCAGGAGTTTGGACCAGAGACCTCCTAAGTTCCCTTTAGACCTGGATCTTTCTATCACCCCATGCTGTAGGGCTTTCCCATAAAGCCCAAGTGCTGTGCTGTGCTGCCAAGGTTTGAAAAGAAGAAAATGTTTTCTTCCTTTTAGTGTTTTTTTCTCTGTTGAACATTTATCAGAATAGCTGGTCCCTGGATGGGCATTGCTTATTCTTGCATTCTCTTTATACATGATTTTTCAGGGGAAAAAAATATTTTTATGTATGCCTTTCTTTATTCCTATGGATCTTTAAAAATAAAAACAAGAAAATGTTTAAAGTGCCATTCAGCTTTGGAAAAGGATTATAAAAATGTCATTACATGGTTCCATATTTTCTATTTCTGTCATTCCACTGAGGTGAAGTGCACTTCCATTTTTATTTTTATCACTAAAAGCAGCAGCTGTGGGTTTGGTACGTGTGTGGAGCAGATCAAATGGGGAAAAAAAAAAAAAAAAGTAATGTTTTATGTAGAGTTATTTATTTATTTATTTATTTCCTCGAGTAGTGCCGCACGCTTTAATTTAACTAAAATTGCATCTGTTTCTGCTGGTCATGCCTGATGTCTCAGAGAAGATGGCAATTGTGTGGTTGGCAATGTAATGAGTTCACCTCTGAGATTTGCTGTGCAGAGGGCTGTTTGATACAGCATCATTCTGACAGTGCCAAGGCTCCATCAGATGCCCATTTTCCGAGAGCGGTCATACATTCTTTTTCTAATTAAGCACTCCTCAGCTCTCCTCCCGGAGCGCATTTTACTGCTGGTTGGAATCCAAGAGCAGAAGACAATTCAGAATATATTGCTGCTACATAACCACGCTCGCTGTTCTCTGAGGCGGTTTTGAATGGAGGGCAGAAAATCACAGAGTAAAGACTGAAAAGAATGTTAAAGCTTGGACTTTGAAACAAAGCTATAAATATGTGCTAAACACTTCAGCAGCAGCACAGTTTCCTAATGCTGAATAGCAAAAGCTGCCCTGTGCAGCCTGGTACAGGACAGGGAATTGGATTTACTTGCAGTTCCCCACTGAGCACTGAGGAGTTTCTTTTATTTTCCATAAAATCTGGGCTAGAAGTTGGTTGGGAGAGGCTCGTCCTGTGTGCACTGCTGAGGCACCCCAGCTGTTCCAGCTGTGTTGGCTGGTTTCCATGCCCTGGGACTGCCTCTTAATCCTGTATCTCTACTTCCTTTGATGATCTGTTGCTGATCACCCATCTCCTGTTTTTCCTGGAGGAATTAAAGGAATCTATCAGACCCACTCTTTGAGAAGAGTCAAGTAACTGATAAGTCACTCAATAATACCTTGAATTGTGACATCTCATTTCAAAGCAGGGCTGCAGGTAGTGCAATACTGCCAGACAACATTGCATTTCCTCGCAGCTTTCATCATTATTGTTTGGCTCAGCAGCACAGATCTGTGAGGAAGAAAGATACACGATACAACAGGAGTGAAATGAAGAGGAAAATATGTGGAAAGGAAACGTCTGAAGTAAAGCTTAAATTAAATTCCAGCTTGTATAGGAATGACAGATCTATAACATTCCCTGTTCTCCCGGATAATTCCCTCGTGCAGAGCATTAACAAACAGGGTATGCACATTCCCATCGATGAGCACTTACACTTCAGTGCCTTGAGTAGCACTAATGTCAGACAAATGTTCAGGGGAGGCCTCTCAACCAGTTACAGACTGGAGCAGTCACCAATGGACAATACTGTGTCCCCTTAGCCTTGCCTGACAACTCCAAATCTCTCCTCACCTTTTTCCTCCCCATGAATCAGCATGCTCCTTCCTCCACCTCTGTGCCCAGCAAGAGGAAATTCCAAAGGCACGAATAAGTTTGTTACTGATTTCTGTTCAAACTGATTCGATTGAAAACCGTTGACCTTCAGGTTATTTAATCTCTGAGTGGTCCAGTTTTCGAATCTCTGAAAAGAAGGAAAGAAAACTCTCTCTTCCTTTGCCTCCCTTTGCTGGAAGTCAGGCTTGGGGACAAAGGTGGTGCTTCTTGCTGGAAGAACCTGCACTGATAGCATGGCACAGATACATTGGTGCTGCAGGCAGCATGGATCATCTTCCCCAGCATGAAGGAAGAAATAAAATATTTGCAAAGGAAAGCCAGAAAACTAATGAAGAACTTGCTAAAGTGCAGCCAAAGGTTACCTTGCTCATCAATTTTGCACTGATGGTACTTGGGCACAGAAACTAATTGCTAGTCAAGATACTCTATTCATTCATTTGTCTTCCCTCTAAATGTGTTTATTCTCTATGTACATCACTTCATTTGATTTGCATGAGGTAAAACATTTGCGAGTGATGTTTCTATTCTGCAAGAGATAGATTTTCATTTTACACTGGGCTTGTTTTTCTCCTAGTAGAGTTTCTCAGCTGCATATCAGAAATGTTTGGTGATGAGCCCCCTGCTTCTCTTGCATCCCTGTAAGTCACAGGGTTTGATCCTGAAAGTAATTGCATGTTATGAAACATCCCAGCTTCATTTAGCTTCCTTTTATAGTCCTGTAAACACCACCCTGAAATACATACAGAGGAGAAAAGGCCTGTTCCTAAAGCTGCATAAGCTGAATTATCACCATGTATCACTCACCTGATGGCAAACTCTGCTGATTCCAGCTCAAAGTATCCTGAGGATTCTCAGGATGTATAAAATATGCAGAATTACCACTATCTGTGCCTGATGATACCCACTGCTCAATATCAGCCCGTCTGCAGCCCATGCTAGAAGATCTCTTTGTTGTAAGAATGTGACTGCAAAGTATGGTAATGCTGCATTGTTGGAAAATCAAAGCCCCATACAAGCCTCTGTTATGTCACAACATATAGTAAAATCTTTTAGGCTCTTTCTCTATGCAAAAATATGGGAAGGACAATGTAATACAAAAATAGGCAATTTATTCCTGGCAGCAAGTTCATCTTCTTTCAGTTCCTTTTCATCAGAGAAAGAGCTATTATTGTCCTGTCTTCTTCAAAAGCAGGAGAGGGAAGCTAACCACTTATAATAAACCCCAGTGGGTTGCCAGGAATGCACAGTATTGCCTTTGTCAGCCATCTATCCATGAATTTGGATACCCTTTTTACTGGAGTATCTATAATTGCCGCTTCTTCCAATTTTTTCCCAATAATCCCATAAAAAAATTATTGCTAAAATTAAAGTGGGTATGACCAATGCAGGGTAAGAGACAGAAATGACATACCATTGCAAATGTAACTTGATACAGATCCCACATCCCTTGGTTGCTATAGCCCATCTCTTCTCCTTTCTCCAGGGAGAGAAAGCAGAAGGAATGTCAAACTTGAAAATATATTATTCCTTCCTCACCAGAAGGAAGGCTTCTATTTATTTTTCCAAGCTCTCTATTGAGATGTCATCCGAGAATCAAGGTTCACTGCTGAGTCTGAGTGCTCTTGATACTCAAAGGAGAAATATTGCCCAGAAATGCATTGGGAAATAAATGCCATTGTGTCTGTTTGTCACTGAAGGTATAGCAGGAATGTAGGTGTTTTCAGCAAAAAGAAAGCAAAAAATTCAAACCTCTCTTCCAAGTCATCTCCAGATCTGAGCAGATTGGAATGGGAAATAAATCTGTGCACTCTGGAACTCAGCAACCCTTTAGTTCCAAAAATTCCCCTTGTTACAGACCTGTGAGAGACAAAGCCTCAAAACTCGGGGCTGCCTCGCACGAATTCTTCCTGCATTTATAAATTGGAGAGGATTCTTTCGCAAGAGAAACTGCAGAGTCCTGAGCAACAGTTGCCACGTTTGTTAATTTAAACCATTATAAACTTTAAGGAGCAGAGCTGTCAGGGCTGAGTGCTGCATCCCCTCCCTGCCTCAGCCCGGTGCTGTTATCGGCCGTGGCAGATGAAGCAGCTGCTCCTGAGCAGAGCCTGCCTGCTGGACCTGACTGAGGGAATCGTTTATGAAATTGGAGCAGGGCTTTTCAGAACCTGACAAGAAAACTTGTTTAATCTCCTGTGCCTTTTTAGTAATCCCATCTTCAGTCACAGTCTCTCTTATTGCTTGCTGTTGGACCATTTTTCTCAGAAGTCTCTCCAAACCGTGTCTGGTTTATTTTTCTCAGCAAATAGTCTGCTTTTAGCTAATTTTATAAAACACTCTATGTGTTTGCTGAGTGAATTTTTCAGCTGCCCTCTGGCAGTGATGAGCTGACTCAAAACATTAGGGTTTCTGTTTTGAGCATGTATCATCTGCAACTGGCTAATATTTCTCTCCCAGATTGTCACAATGACTTCATGTTCTTTTCTTGCAAATGCACTATTTTAATTGCTTTGTCAGAGTTCCCTCAGGTCACCTTGGTGGCAATGCCATTAACCCTGGGCTTATCTATCAATTACAGATTTTAAAGTGTCCATGGATGTATTTTGCTATCACATAAAATAAGTTATGGAAAACTTGCCTCCATGCAACTCTTCAGCACTAGAAAAATGAGGTTTTAAGATACTCTGTATTGAAAAACTTCCATGTATTTCCTGCTGGGGTTTCACTGAACAAAAGAAAGATAATGATGGAATTACAATTTGCGTGTCTGGTCAAGGTCTGTTCAGTGCTCTGGGTGTTATTATCCTAAACCTCACCCACTTTCTTGGTGCTGGCCAGTTCTAGTCTGAGGTCCTCCTCACCTGAGGAAGGGTTGGAATTTGAATTCTCTGCAATAATTTCTTGGGCATTAGAAGCAAGGAAAAGTAATCCTCTTAAAGGAAAAACAGAAGCAATGATCTCTTTGGGGAATGTGAATATTCATGATGGTGGTACAGGTCTCATTTATCATCTCTTCCACAGGGTATGTGGTAGCAAATGAGAAGGAGACAAAGTGTAAGTGCATGGTAAAGTAGAAATTACTACTTATTAATGTCTGCTTTTGCATACTACGAGAGAGGTACACTCCTGTGCTGAAATGGCTTTGTAGCTTTAAATATTTATTTCTGTCCAGGTGTGTTTCTTAGGCACTTGTTCTGTCTGCCTCAAGGGGTTTAAATCTGTGAGCACCATCTGTTGTTGTTCAGCATGGACACGTTTGGGTAAAGACAAAGCCAGTATTTGTGATATTTGTGGATGGGGTGTCCTGGGTGGAGGCAGCAGCTCACGCTACTCAATCTCTGTCTGAACAGAACGTGCCCGTTTCCCTCGTGCTGCTGCTGCTTGTCCTCATCAAGCTGAGAGAATAATCTACTAAACCCAAATCCTAATCAAATAAAACCCAGGTTTTAACCCAGTTAGTGCATTTAAAAAACAGGGAAAAGGGGATGTCCCCTCTTCTTCCAAAGTCTTCTGAGTCTCGTGCATTTGGACAAAGAGACTGGGCTTTAAGTTTTTCTTAATTGTGTAGTCTCTGTCTTCAAGTGAGCTGTTAACTGAGCCCTTCTAATGTACAGGACATCAAGAGTAGTAAATGCACACCTTGAAAATACCTGGAATCTATACCAGGAGTGTTCATTTGCTGCCCAGAAGAGCAGATACATGGGGATAATCTGCTGTGAGCTCCCCCTCAGCCATTCCTCCCACATTGTTTCTGTGGCCATCATCTTCCAGGAGGAGCTGGAGCCACAGCCCCTCTCTGAGCTCTTCCCCACAGAGACTGGTGATAAATGAAGTGGGGACTGGGACTCCTGTGAGCCATGTAGCAACAAGACGTTTCACTCTTCTCTTCAGTAATTTCCTTTGCCAGCTTAATCACAAAAACTTTTCGAACCAGCTTTCCTAGGACATAATGATAAATTGTGGTGGAGGTTTAATGTTTATTATAATTTAATGTTTCATTCAAAATTAAGCAGCACACTCCTGTAGTCCCTGGGTAAATGGTCATATCTTACACCCCCACACTTTCTAGCAAGAACCACACTCTGTCTCCCAGGTCAGCTGCCCTCCTGCTCTGTTTCCAGGTCCCCCTCCTCTCTAAATGTGCATATCCAAAATTTCACAGTGTTCAAAATCTACTCCCTTTGGGCCCACACATGCTCCTTGCTGTGCCTGATGTTTGTTTTAGTTCCAAAGTGGCCGTGTCTGAGCTGTCAGTGCACACCCAGACAGGGGTGAGAACAGTCAACTCAAACTCCTCACCATCAAGGCATCTCAAGCAAGCAATTTAATGAAGTTGAGATCTGAATCACACCCTGAGGTGTCATTCCATGTTTACTACAGAAAGAGCCTGGGGTCACCGTGCTGCTAATTTGGTTCTGCGTTTAAAGTCAAATGAGATGAGACAAGGCTTTGAGTCTCAGGTTTAGCCTTAGGAAATATCAACCCCTCTTGCCTGGAGAGAGGTGGGCAGGGAAGTGCCTTCTGCTTCTGGTGCCTCATTAGCTGTGTGTTTTTCTTGCCACTCTTTGGCTCTTCCAGCAATATTTTAATTTTTTTTTTCTTTGGTGCTAACTCCACAGTGTGTATCCATCAGAAACGCGTAAACAAAAGCATTCACGGCTTTAACAGAAAAATAATAAAACTATTGTCTGGCTCTCCATATGTTCCTCAATCTTCCTGCAGAAACAGAAATCCAGGACATATTTATTGTTCTGGCTTGGAGCCAGAGCCTGTATTTACTTTTGTGAGTGGCTGAGGAGTTGCAGTTTTTAAATAACTCTGAGCCTTCAGTGGCAAAATACATCACAGGCAGGAATTACTGCATTTTTAATTTAAACATGTGAGTGCCCTCATGGCTTTCTGCTCTGGCCTGAGCTGTGGAAGGGTCACCCTCAGCCTTCCTGGGGAGGAGGACAGATGGAATGGGTAAAAACTAGCCCTCCTTGCTTTTCATTCACTCCAAAATTCTCCTTCTCCTTAGGAACCAGGATGATAAGGAGCGAAAATCATGCTTAAGTATAAAGCTGAAGAGCTTTTATCTCTTAAAACACATCAGCATTTAAGGGCTGCAGCAGAATTTAGTGTTCTCACTTCACCATGCAGCTCCCACTTGCAGCCAATGGGTACAAATGAAATGTTTTTCCACAAATTTCCTTTATGTGTAGAAATTACACATTTTAATTGAGCTGCTGTTTTATTTTTGCTTTTGAAATGTTTTATGTTGTATTTCCATGGGGTTTCTGTAGGCATTTTCACTACATTTTCTGGTTGGGTGCTTCCAAAAATCCTTATTATAGGGAGGAAGGATTCTACCCATGACAGGATAAGCCTGAATCCGTGAGTAAATCAAGCTGTTCTGTAGCCTAAGAATACATATGGTAATTTTGATTAGTCGCTCTGTGTGGATAGTGTCAATGTCTTCTGCTTCCTTGAGTATGAAAAATTCCATGTTAAATCATATCTCCCATGTGTTTTACTGTTTATACGTATCACTGCTGTCACATTGTAGGGACGTCATTGTAAGAAGGGAGAAAAAGTGAGAGAGGAAATTTATTGACCAACTTTCTCAGTCAAAAACAGGATGAAAATTGGCTTTTATCCACATTTAGCGACATGTCCATTAGCTGTTCCAAGCATCAGCCTTGGGACTTTCAGCATAATTTTTTTCCCCCCCCGAACAGGATAAAACTGAGAAGAATCCTGTGATGTCTTTCATTTATTTAATTGTACAATAGCTGCCGGTGGTTTTATATCCATCATCACACGGGGCTGATGTCGCCCGCCTTTAACTGCCTGTAAGACTGGAGCTGAATGAAACGTAGATTAATTTTTCTGTGCTGGTTTATTTTATTTTTTCCCCCCTTCTCTTTCCCTTTTCCTCCACAGTGAGCTGCCTCACTCCCCTCAGAACCTC